TAACTTTAGCTTTAGAAGTTTAACATCTGTGCTTAGCTAGATACCTTAACGTTCTTTGCAGCTGGTGGGGCACATCCAGAAGACAATGTCTCACCTCTTCTTAAGATGAAACATGTTCAAGTGCTTGATTTTGTGAAATGCTTTTAAATTGGCATGTGCCTGTCTGAGGTCCTTGTAGTATGCTTCAGTCAGTCCGTTAGGTGAACTCAGTGGTGTGTCTTTCAGAAATGATGGGGTGGAGGTGAGATGAGAGAATGAAGAATGGCAAACACAATGCTATTCTTTAAAAATGAAGGAGAGAAGAACAAGGGATTTGTTGACCCTGTCAGGTTAACTTAATTTCTCTAAAAATACTGAAACAAATTATTGCTATGCTGTTTGAAAGCCGAGAGAAGATGACAGGACAATGAGTAAGAGCTGACTCAAGAACAAATAATGTCAAAACCAATGTAATTTCCTCCTTTGATAAGGTGACAGATCCCATGAATAGAGGAGGATCTGTTGATATCTTATAACTTGACTTAAATGAACCTTTTGATACTTTCTCTTGTGCCATTCTAATAAGCTGATAAACAAAGGGAGCTATGCCCTAGAATAAATTCTGTCAGTATGATTGCAGACCTGCCTGGAAAATTATAGAGCTCTGTTCTCAGAGTAGTTATGGACATTTCACCATCAAAAAAACCCAAAACAATCCAAAAGCAGTGGTATAGAGCAGAATATTTCCTGGCTTTTTACCATTAAGTATTTTAGTTAAGGACTTTGATGCAGCAGATGAGTTTGCCTGTTAACACGTGCAGGTGACATAAAACTGAGAGGTGCTGCAGGCATGCTGAAGGACGGGATTAGGATTCAAAGTGATGCTTACAATTCAGATAAGTGATTTGAAGAAAAGAGAGTGGTGGCTCCCTATGGGCATGTGCAAGTACTACAGTTGGGCAAAAACACAGCTGCAGAAACATAGGATGAGGATAAAAACAGCTTATGCAGCTGTTCCTTAGGAAAGGATCTGGGTATTGTACTGAATGAAAAGCTGAGCGTGAATCAACAGTATTTTCCACTGTAAAAAAAGTACTGGAAAGCTGCTATAAGATCATCTCAGAGCCTTCTCTTCTCCAGACTGAACAGCCCCAACTGTCTCAGCCTGTCTTCAGAGGAGAGGTGCTCCAGCCCTCGGATCGTCTTTGTGACCCTCCTCTGCACTTGCTCCAGCAGCTCCATGTCCTTCTTGTGCTGGGGACTCCAGAGCTGAATGTAGTATTCCAGGTGGGGTCTTACAAGGGCAGAGTAGAGGGGCAGAATCACCTCCCTCAACCTGCTGGCCACACTTCTTTGAATGCAGCCCAGGATACGGTTGGTTTTCTGGGCTGCCAGTGCACATTGCCGGCTCATGTTGAGCTTCTCATCCACCACCACTCCCAAGTCCTTCTTCTCAGGGCTGCTTTCAATCCATTCTCCGCCCAGCCTGTACTTATGCTTGGGATTGCCCCATCCCACGTGCAGGACCTTGCACTTGGCCTTGTTGAACTTCATGAGGTTTTCACAGACCTGCCTCTCAAGCCTGTCAAGGTCCCTCTGCATGGCATCCCTTCCCTCCAGCGTGTCCACAACACCACACAACTTAATGTCATCTGCAAACTTGCTGAGGGTGCACTCGATCCCACTGTCCATGTCACCAACAAAGATGTTAAATAGCACCGGCCCCAGTACTGACCTCTGAGGAACACCACTCCTCACTTGCCTCCACTTGGACATTGAACTGTTGACCACAATTCTTTGAGTGTGACTATCCAGCCAATTCCTTATCCACTGAGTGATCCATCCATCAAAACCATGTCTTTGCAGTTTAGAGACAAGGATGTCGTGTGGGACAGTATCTAATGCTTTGGATAAGTCCAGGTAGACGATGTCAGTTGCTCTTCCGCTATCCATCAATGCTGTAACCTCATCATAGAAGGCCACCAAATTAGTCAGGCAGGATTTGCCCTTAGTGGAACCATGTTGGCTGTCACCAATCACCTCCTTATTTTCTATGTGCCTTAGCATAGTTGCCAGGAGGATTTGCTCCATGATCTTGCCAGGCATGGAGGTGAGACTGATGGGCCTGTAGTTCCCTGGGTCTTCTTTTTTCCCCTTTTTAAAGATGGGGGCTATGTTTCCCCTCTTCCAGTCATTGGAAACTTCACGAGATTGCCACGACTTCTGAAATATGATGGATAGTGGTTTAGCAACTTGATCCGCCAGTTCCCTCAGGACCTGTGGATGTACCTCATCAGGTCCCATGGACTTGTCCACCTTCAGGTTCTTTAGATGGTCTAGAACCTGGTCTTCTACAGTGGGTGGTTCTTCATTCTCCCAGTCCCTGCCTTTGCCTTCTGTGACTTGGACTGTGCAGCTGGAGCTCTTGCCAGTGAAGACTGAGACAAAGAAGTCATTGAGAACCTCAGCTTTCTTCATATCCTGGGTAGCCAGGTCCCCCGTTTCCTTCTGGAGAGGGCCTAAGTTTTCCCTAGACCTCTTTCTATCACTGAAATATCTATAGAAGTTTTTCTTGTTGCCCTGGATGTCCCTGGCCAGATTTAACTCTGTCAGGGCTTTAGCTTTCCTAACATGATCTCTGGTTGCTCGGACAATTTCTCTGTATTCTGCCCAGGCTACCTGTCCTTGCTTCCACCCTCTGTAGGCCTTCTTTTTGTGTCCAAGTTGATCCAGGAGCTTCTTGTTCATCCATGCAGGCCTCCTGGTGTTCCTACCTGACTTTCTCTTTGTTGGGGTGCACCATTCCTGAGCTTGGAGGAGGTGATCCTTGAATACTAACCAGCTTTCTTGTGCCCCTGTTCCCTCCAGGGCTTCATCCCATTGTACTCTAGCGAGGAGATCCCTGAAGAGGCCAAAGTCTGCTCTCTTGAAATCCAGAGTAGTGAGCTTGATATGCACCCTCCTTGCTTCCCTAAGAATCTTCAATTCCACCAGTTCATGATCACTACAGCCAAGGCTGTCCTTGAGTGTCACGATCCCCACCAGCCCTTCTTTGTTGGTGAGAACAAGGTCCAGCAAAAAGCACCTCTCCTTGTTGGTTCCTCTACCACTTGGAGAAGCATGTAATCATCAATGCTTTCCAGGAACCTGCTGGATTGCCTATGCCCTGCTGTGTTGTTCCTCCAGCAGATATCAGTGTGGTTGAAGTCGCCCATGAGGACCAGAGCTTGTGAAAGTGAGGCAGCTCCCGTCTGTCTGTAGAAGGCCTCATCCACTCGGTCCTCCTGGTCAGGTGGTCTGTAACAGACCCCCTACTACTATGTCCCCTGTCCCTGCTCTCCCTTTAATCCTAACCCATAAACTTTCAGTTGGCACCTCATCCATTCCCAGGTGCAGCTCCATGCACTCCAGCTGTCCTTTCATTTTATTCATATCCAGTGTTTTTGCAAGACTATAGTGACAGTTAATGATCTGTAAAATGCCTTTTACACTCTTAGGAGTACGCAGAGAGATTATCTTCTGTGTGGGCAGTATAGAGATGAAAGTTTGAGATGGGTATTTCGGTTAAATCATTGTGTGTAATTTAAATTCTTTCAGTTATGCTTTCCTCCGTCATGTAAGTGAGAAATGCAGGGAAAATTGGAATTTTTAGGCATTTTAAATTACATTTAAAGGAGGAGCTGTTTAAGTTAATTTGAATAGGGCTTTTGGCAAGATTAAAAGGCAGATGGCAAGGAAAAGAAAATAGGAATCCAGTGTTAAGAGACAGTTATACTGTATAAGTAGCAAACAAAAGGCAGAAGAGGAGAACAACTCTGTTGTTTTTTGTTTGTTTGGTTGGTTTTTTTATCTGCATACAGGGTTTTTGTCTGTTAAATTTAAATGTTTCGCCACACTAGTGGCTTTGCAAAAAGTGTTAGGAAACCTGTTTTTTTTTCCCTTGTCATTTTCTTTTAGCAACCTTGATGAGACTTGGTTAATGTCAATATTTGTATAGACTCTAGCACCTGCTGTGCTGTTCCATTAGCAGAGCCAGATTATACTGTTGTGCTAACACATATGTATGTTGTCGTACATACTGTGAGACCCTGAAAAGGCAGGGAGAAGGATTCATGGCCTTCGTTAACTCTTTCCAGTTTTGGTGCTTGGTGCTATACTAGTTCTTGGCTGTTCTGCCAAAATTGTCCTCAAGAATGTCTGTTAAGTGTCACTTAAAGTGGTGGTGATGATAGTAACCTCTGTAAGTCCTGTTATATAGTCTTCACTTATGCGTGCAGCAATATGTTCAGAAGCAAGTTTTTCAGCTGTTGGAAAGCCTACTGCATCACATCTGGTATCAGTGATGAAGGTCTGCTACTGGGTGTTGAGTGTGCTCATTCAAAGAGAGGATGACAAGTACTACAGAAATTACTGCAGAAATCACTTGAATTACACAGAATTCAAAATGGTTGCTGAAACAAAAATGTCTTGAGGCAATAAGAGGAAATGAAAATAATATCAACCAGCTTCTCCCTGTTGCTTCATTTAATACCTTTTGACCTTTCCTTCCTTCGAGGCATCTTGAGTCCTGCCTATCTACTCATAGCACAAGAGTTTGGGATACCTGTAGTACAGCAAAAGGACTGTCACATAGCCCAGCTACGAAAAATTACATAGTAGTATGTTTGTTTACTAATACTATATAAATGTTTATCTGTCAACCAGAACATCTTCATTCCTCCAAAGCAATCTTTAAAGCATTTAATCTGCCATTTCTCTGAAGTCAGACTTGCCTAAAAAGCAGCTTGTGGTGAATGTGAAGCTCATTACAACACATTGATTACACTCTAAAACACTTTCAAAAAGAGCCTTAGTGAATTTAAGGAAAGGTATTCAAACGTGAATAGTGAGAGATGTTCATCAGTATTTTTGAGTATGTCAAACTGAGGTTGATACATAAATTGTCTTACAATTTACAGTTACTGAAAAAGGATATTCCTCTTGAATGTCCGCAAAGAGAAAATTACAGGGATTTCCCCACCATGGAGGTTATTACCAGCCAGAATATAAAGTTGCAAGATAAAGCATTTAAAGGTGAAGAAAGGTTAGAGCTAAGTCTTCTGCCAAACACTTAATTCTGTAGTTAGTCAGGGTGGAGAACAAGACAGTCTTTATTTATATGATTGTGTGTTTGATGGTCACATTGTAGTATTTAATGAGGTAAAGCAAGCCTGTATGTAATGATGCACTTTATGAAAGAGGAAGGTTTCTGCTCCATTCCCTGCATACAAGGAACTGAGGTCATCAGGATCTTTCAAACCTAGATGCCAGAAGAGAAAATTTCCATTAAGGTCACTTTTTTCCCTGCATCTTCTTAAAACGTGTGAGTTTGTTTTAAAATTTGACGTTTAAAATGATCAATAGGTTAAGGGAAATCACGTTCTTTAAGCAGTCTGCTGAGAAGCTGATTTTACGTCTTGATGCTGTCTGTATTTCTCATTACGAATGTGTCTAGATATCTGCGAACAATGCCTTTATTTTGATTGAGTTCTTCAGAGAGATAAAATGCCTAGGTGGTTCAAGTTATTACAGCAGAACAAAGCAGTAATTGGAAATTTATTGTCATATTTGAAATACTTAAGTTGTCTTAAAGTGTCACGAAAATTCATCAGTATCATAGTAATGTTAATTCCCACTAGGAGCCTAAAAATAGAGGCATTTCAAATGTTTTAGTATGCAAATGCTTTTCAATTTTCTTATAATTTATATTTTAGTAACTTCTGAGCAAGTTTGCCTTCTTTTAATAGGGTCAAAAATTTCTATTTAATAGCCTCACAGCATATTAAAAATTACTCTGGAATTAATTTGTGTTGTAGAAAATACTCTGTGGAATTGAATACAAAGATGTGTGTGTGTTTATGCGCTCATGTATAGGCTGCATTTTAGCCAACCTTTGGTCTTGCTCTTTGGTTTCCAAATTTCACTGCCATGGAGGAAGTAGAATAACTTGCAGAACATAAGAGGGAAAGGAAGATTGACTAAATCTCTGTGCTCTACTGTGGATGTGGGTTAGGCTGCGTGATCAGACAGTGAAGTTGTTTTACCAATCTGGGTTTTTTCCCAAAAGAAATTATTAAAAGTAACTATTGGGACTTTCCATCTTAAATGGAATTTTTATGATAGGGCATTTAACCATGAAGTGTCTTGCAAAAATAAGACTGGAAAATAACAAGCTGAGTTTTTGGCAGGGATAGGCCAGAGGTTATGTTGCGTTTTTAAACTGAGCAGTGCATTAGTGAAGTTAATCCCTTTAGTAGGAGATCATAGAGGGAGAAGAAGCGTGAAACCTAACATACTCCCTCTCACATGATGATGTGAGTAGGTGGATCAGTAATTAACGTATAAGGACTTTAGCAGATACCTAAAGTATTTGGTACTAAGCCTAGCTACTTGAACGAGCTTTTTTTTAAAAAAAAAATTCCTACCTGTTTTGGGTATAGGAAAGAGCAATCATGCACAAATTGCTACCATTACAATTTGTAATGCTGTTTTCCATCTTTCTAAAGCTACTGACTTCAGTAACTGTTGCACACCTTGGAAGGCCGGTCTAAACACTGTTTTGGTAGAACACGTGCATATGTTTTACTTTGTATGCTACATGCTAACACTGAGAAAGGATAGTAAAGAAAATGTATGCACATACTGTGATTTACAGTCAGTATGGCCCTTGAACCCATACCAACAAAACCCAAACCTGCAAGTA